TTTACAAAGTTAGTATCATAAATTGGGTTACCAAAAGAACTTACTTTGCAAACCATCCATTTCATACAAACCCTACAAAACAACTATATCAATCAATTTTCATGATTAAAACAAATTATTTTAGTAAAGTAAAACAATAAAGCAATAAAACAACAAATTATTATTATTATTTTCTCCAATAAAGGGCAAAACATGATCAAGTTTTAAACGTTTGAGATCACTGAAATCTCCTTTTCCGAAATTAAATCTCCTTTCCCGAAATTAAATCTCCTTTCCTAAAAATTATTATTAATCAACAATAATAAATAAAACAATTTTAAAACTGAATAATATGATTTTATTAGTTAAATTGGTTTCATGAATGAAACATTTGAAAACTCAATGAAATATTTTGAAAATTGAATAATATGATTTCATTAGTGAGATTGGTTTCATGAATGAAACATTTTGAAAACTAAATAACATGATTTCATTAGTGANATGATTTCATTAGTGAGATTGGTTTCATGAATGAAACATTTTGAAAACTAAATAACATGATTTCATTAGTGAAATTGGTTTCACGAATGAAACATTTTGAAAACTGAATAACATGATTTTATTAGTGAAATTGGTTTCATGGTTCATAATCAAAATGAAAATGGTTTTGTTAATGAAACTAAATATGGTTCGGTTAATAAAACATTTCGAAAACTGAATAATATGATTTCATTAATGAAATTAGTTTATTGATTCCTAGCCAAAATGAAATTAGTTTCATGAATAAAACATTTTAAAAACTGGATAACTTAGTTTATTTAATGAAATTTACAAGGAAATCAATTTATTCATTAGTTTTACAAATAAAACAAAACAATATACTCAAAATCTGGAAAATATCAAAACTATAATATTAATAACCTTGGAAAGATTTGTAAATTGAAAAAAAAAATACCGATTTCTTTTGTTATTATGAAAATAAAATAAACAAATTTTTAAGAAAAAGATGATTATAAATAAATTCTAAAATTGACGGATTATTTTTATTTAATAAAAGAATACAAAAATATTAATGTTAGTAAGTATCTATTAAAAATTCACCGTTTCAAGATTATTATAAAAATAAATTGATTGATCATTTCCTAAAAAACCTCTAATCTATATAATATTCTCGATTTAAACATAATTAAATTATTACTAAAATTATCTATTATAAACTCAAAAGACAATCATACTCTTATGAATTAAAAAAAAAAAATTTGAATTATGCTATTGGTTGATTCTAGTTTGTACAAAAGGGAGCAGTTTGTATTTGATTGTTCATCTCTCTCTCTCTCTCTCTATATATATATATATATATATTTATAAATAAAATGAATATTTTTTATTTATTTAGAAAAAGAAACATAATCATCTTTTGAAATGTAGAAAATCAGTTGGAATATGTGGATAAATATGTGTGTTTATTAGTAGTGTAAGGTAGGGTTGTAATAATTAAGTAACGGGAAACTTTCCTTTTCTAATCATAGATTGATGATGCAAAAACATAAAGTGTTTTGTATAACATCTCCAATAATTTAAAAAAAATAAAAAAATAACCTTTAATTTCAATACTTTTCGATTATTATAAATTCAATGTTGATTATATAATTAAAATATTCAATGTATCAATAAAAATTCATTTTAAAAATTGTGTTGCATACATGTAGTGGTCTCAAAATGACAATAAAAAGTTACATGATTTTACAAATATATAACTATTTACTTAATTAATTAAATGAAAACTCTAAGTAGTAAAAGCGTAATGAATTTACCCAAATGATTTTGTGAAAAGTGAGCAGATAAATACGATTCCATTGAAGATGTAAATATTTTATCAACGATAATTCACACTTTATAATTTGTAATAAAAAAATATAACATTAATCGTATGTTAATTGGTATGTCCAAATTCCAATTGTCCATGGCTGTGACTTGTGATGTGAGTCCCTTGGACCTTGGTTATTCCACAGTGAAATGGGCTGGGTATAATGGGCCTTCACATGGGCTATCCTTAGCTAATGGCCCAAGTTATTTATGATTCACTTTTTAAATTTTCAACCAATTAAATTTAGGAGATTTAATGGATTGATTGATATGTTGTGAAGTAAAATCGTCAAATTAAACTAAATACAAGACCTCTCATTTTTTGAAGCTGTAGATAACTAGAGATTGTCACCAAACACATTGGTCGAACCATTTATACAGTTCAATCAACATTTACAAAGTAGATATATTGATGACAACGTTACACATTGTATTGGTTGATAAAAGAAGGCAGATGATAAGAAGTTGGAGGTCGGAGAAACAAGGATGATGAAATAGACATGTGTTCGAACCATGTTGGACATGATACCAAACAAGCGTTTTAGGCCATAGAAAAAAAAATTAGAATTTCCAAACACTAAAAAATGAAAAATAAAATAAATAATTAGAATATAAATAAAAAAATGTTAGAGAAAAAAGGGGGTTTGCTAAAATGGTTGGCTGTCGTGCTGGAAACCACACATTTTAACTTTTTTTTGAAAGAAAGAATATATGTTTTATAGACAAAACTGTTTTCACCCTGAAAGAATATTTTGCTTATAAAAGCCTCTTCCTAAAAACCACCCTTTTGCTTTCTTTATTTCCAAGGTTTTAAAGAGAAAAAAACACCTACACAAACACTCTCCTTCTCTTTTCTTTATAACTAACACAATATTTCATTTTAATAAAAACAAAATACAAATTTAAAAACCATAACCGATCTCATAAACACAAATAAACTAGATCAATAATAATAGAAAGACCCAAAAAAATTTATACTTAATACCTTAATTGACCGGAGATACTTCATTATATCAAGAAAAAAAAAGCCCAGAATGACCATCCGCTCCTGCTCATGAATACTGACTATGTTTATTTTATAAAATTATAACATTTTTTCAAATAATCAAAAATTAAATAATCTTTAATAAATAGTGGAGCAGCAAAAGTTTAACCAAAAGACTTCCCTCCCGTAAGGAATACATTTTTGGTTATTACTGCTTTTTGTTTTTTAAGGATCATTTCTTTATCTTAAAATCTTTTTTATAACAACTTGTCCCATTTATCTTCAAACTCTTGTTTATCTTGAAATATGGTGTTAAAACTATAGTTTTATAAAAATATTTGTATTAACGTATGACAGTATTAAAATATAATAAGCTAATAAATATATCATTTGTTTATTAAAAACTCCTTAGTATAAGTACCAATACTGAAATAAGTTACCAACTGAGGGTTCGCTAGCTCCCTCCGGAAGCAGGTATGAGGGAGGATTTCAGACCTTAAGCATTGTGAAAATGTTGATTGTTTAAAGAGTTTAAAAAATGCAAAGAAATTCTCTAATTCCACCCAGAATCACACGATGAGACGGAACATACCAGAAGACTGGAATCCATGAACAGAAGCAAAAACTCAAAACTTTATACAATCACCAAAAATTACAAAAATAATTTGTTGGAAATCGTTATTACAAGATCTTGATTCCAAAAAAAATAAAGATAAAGAGGCAGCCATTGATGAATTACAGACTGTCGTAAACAGAGAACCTCATGCATAAGCTTCTCTTCTCCGTGCCATTGCAAAGAAAACCTCAAGATCTGGTGACTGGAAATACCCATTAGCCGGTGGCTTCTTCTGCTTCAAATGAACCGCCTTCTTCTTCGGCGCCGGTGGGCATTTCATGGGAACCCGATACCCACTTCGTTTGGGTGTCCGGCAACCCTCCTCCGCCGAGCCATAACCACCGTCAACCTCCATATCAAGACAAGATTAAAAAGTAGCCGAGAGAATAATAAGTATGATTGATTTAGATTAGAAGGAAAGAAAGGGGTTTTATGGATGATATGCAGGCAGGCGGCTTGTTCCGGAAGCTGAAGCTGGTGTTGTGTTGGTATTTGAGTAATGGAGGGGGTCTCATATCCTACGTGGATCTTTGCTGACAAAAAAGAGGCGTGGCTTTGCTCAAATGGAGCCACGAGCCGTGTTGCTAAAAGGAAGCTTCTGGGTGATGGCAGAATTTATTCGAATCTGGGCCACACGCTTCTTTTCCCGCCTCTTTTTTTCCTTTTTTAGAAATAACGATTCCTTTCTTTTTGGATAAAATAGCCACACATGTTTTTTTGCCTTCACCTTCCATCTTCTATGAGCCTTTTATATCCTTAATTTATTAATGAATGTAGCGTCAAAACAGCATATAAAAGAGTGTCTTAAGTTGCCATTGGCATTGTTGACCTCATCCAGCACATATTGAATTGTACCCAGCTCCATCGAGTAAAAACCACGTATGTTAAAGCTCTGTACAATAAAAGAAAGTTGCTACAAGATCGAGTTCCTCTGTTTTCTGGGGCTCAACAGAGGTTGTTACGTTATCATTTATGAGATTTTATGAACCGAACTTTGTTCCTAGAAATACGGAAATTTTAACTAAACAAAAATTCGAAAAAAAAAGAAACTCTCAGATAACATTCAACATTTATGTTATATTTTCTCTTTTTTTCTCTATTTTAAAAAGAAAAATTAAGCATAATTATTAAAACAAACCTTTTGTAGATCTTCAAAATTTGTAAAATAGTATTTAGAAAAAATTAAATAAAGCAAAAAAAGAAAATGGTTTTGTTGGTTGCTTTATTCGATGCTTATTCTGTAATCATATTGCTTGCTTGGTATGGGTCCCTGCAGTCACCGTAGGTTGCTTCAAATACTCATTTATTCCCTATTTTTTATTATCTTGATAGTAATGGTTTGGTAGGTGAGATTAAGTGGGTGGTTTTCAAGTGTTTCAATCTTATAAAACACACAATTTAATAACATATCAATTAAATTTGTTATTTATAAATTCGATTTAATAATTGTTCAGTTCACCACTTATTTTATTTTATGGATTAAACATCCAAAAAAGAACATTAGATTTAGATATTGATACGAGCTGTAATAAAATAATAATAAAAGAGGATTATGGAGTAGTAAATAGCAAGTCAAAACTTATTATCATATCATAAATAGAAACCGATATGATTTTGGAGATTGTGGTGTAATTGTAATTAATGCAAATCCTGGCAAATCAAATAAATCTCCCTGGAGTTTGATCTTGTAGCTTTAGGTCTTAACCATGACGACTTCCTAAACACAGGTTTGCAGATCTTCATCAGCTCTACAATCAAACCAACTTTATTATAACTTATTGATATAGATTCAGTTATATTATATATCACCAACATTTTCTATATGAATCAATACACGGCTACCTTTTGTATCCTCGCTCTCTAGAAGCTTGACGATAAGGTGTCCTCCGCTTTGGAGAACACCGACGTCATCTTCTTGCTGTTCTACGTCCAAGGGCTCGTCAGACGATCGATCCCCTCCAAGTGCTAGATCGAGGGCCCGCATCCCTAATTCCATCGATAAAGCTGCGTCTCTTGTTGTGATACCAGAAACAAGTGGACACATATCTGATAACAGAACTGTAAACCCTTTTTTCTGCCAAAGTTACCATACCAAACAAAAGAGATGGATTTGCAGTAAGTTCTAAAGGAAAACAGAACCAGCGATAGAAGATCATTAAGTTCTTGCCATTTGTTAATCATTAACCGTATTCCCTCCCTTTCTCCAAAATTGCTACATTGAATAATCTCTTTGTCAATTATTTAAAACACTCTTCACTAAAACACCATCTTCTCGAAAACCCTTTTTACCAAGAAAATAAAAGGAAGGGAAACCAAAAAGAAGAGTCGTTCTTGAAACTTTTTCTTTTCTTTTCTCTCTCTCCGGTTCAAGACTCAAATGAAAATTTGTTTCCATTCCTTTACGAGAACACGAACAAAAAAGCTTTTTCCTTTTCGTTCTTTTCCATCCCTTTTCTTCCCAAATTCGAGGACATAGTGTAAAGGAATTTTGTGCATCAAAATCGATGTCATCACTTATTGGAAATGATGATAATGTTGATTGGTCGTTTAATTCTAGTTTATTTTCTCGTCAATCACTCCTTACTAATGCGTTAAAATGGTAAGACCGAACTACATTAATGGGCTTTTGTATTTTGATAGGTTTGGAAAAGTTTGGAGCGAAAAAAGGATAAAAGAGGATTTTTGACAGCTTTGCGAGGCTATTGTACTTTGAGCATATCTCACTCATCCGAGCTCACTGATATGGAAAGACAACACACAGGCTTATAATCTTCGTGTTTTGAGTATTTGCAAAATCAAGCCGCATCTGAGCCAAAACGGACGCTGAAGTTGAGTGAACAAAGCTGGACAGGAAAGGAGAAATAAAAGAACAACGGTTCTATTTTAAATCAAAAAGAGGACATGTATTGTGCAGGTCCCAAGTTAGAATCCCTTAGTTTTTAACCGAAAGCAACTCATATCCAGACCCATTCGAAGCCAATCTTTTGTCCTGGCCCTGTTCGATATTAGGGCAGATTTTGGGTAATAGAAAGGGAGCCATATTGGGAGGAAAAAATAAAAAAGAGGAAGCATCGCATGACAACCATGGGGAACAGCAGCCTCCGGCTGCTGTTTTCAGTTTTTTTATAGTTTTTTTCTCAAAATATATTTGATTGGATTCGGTGGAACAGTTGAAGATTCAAGATTGTTGATCATGTTGGGGAAAAGATTGAAGATCCAAGTTTGATAAAAGGGAAGTTGAGGTTTCTTTTAAGTATTGTTTTTTCTTTTAGCAAATCATGTTTATCAATATTAGTTCGGTTTTAGAATAAGGTTTGAACTACGTTCATTGAGAACGATATGTGACAGATATTGTTGGCTCTGAATGCTTCTTTCATATTCGTGGTATTTCTTTAGTAATAAAGTTTCAATCTTTTTATTCGTTTAAGAGTTTAATACAATTTTTAATTGAGAACAATATGTGAGAGATATTGTTAGCTTTGAATGATTGATTTCGTATTCATGTTATTTCATTAGTCATAAACTTTTGGTTCTTATTTGTTTAGCAGTTTAATATAACTCTCATTCCAAATCTTTTGAAGTAGTGTTATTTGTAATAATTAGATTTCGGTTTTTAGTTAGATTGTTTTGGGCTTAATCGATAAATGAGTAGCCAAGCTTTGTGACACACGTGCATTCAGTTTTAACATGAGTTGTTACCTTAACCACTGACTCCCTGAGAAGAACATATCTGACTTACCCCTTTACTAGTTTAAGTTAGGTTTATAAATTTAAACCTTGTTGTGCGTTTAACGACGCGTGCAACAAATATGCAAATAGGTAAACTTTAACCTGGAATCTTTCCAACTTATTTGATGATTTCATCAAAGATATGTTATTCAGATTCGTCTCTGTCAACAAAAACAGGCAATTGGACCTAAAAAAGGTCGACGAGGATTAAGAAGCAGGAAACATACTACTAGATCCACTCTTCTCTAATAAATTTACTCAAGTCCGTTGATTGCGAATCTGGTTGGGTAGCAAAAGTGTGGTTTTACTACCAACTGTGTGTTTCAGTGTTTGTTCAATGATATCAGATGGTAGTATTTCAGTCTTGCTAGTTTTGTGGGTTCAGTAACGGTTATAATCTCAGCTGCTGCTTGGTTCAGTTATGATTGGTGGACTTTCAGTTGGTACGATCATACTCTTTCTAGATGTTCCTTTTCGGTTTAATAAAATAAATCCATTGTTGCATATTCTTACTGTTCATATTGTATGATATGAATATACCACATTAATTTGTTATGTATGGATGATGAGATTTCATTGATACAGAGCTAATTCCAATAGATTCCAATAGACTTATTGAAGGGTCCCATTGGTGTGCATCCAGTAGGAATTGAACCTACGAATTCAGAGTCCCCTTGTTTTTTGTTTGGTTCTCAATCCATCCCCGAGGGGGTAGAGAACCCGTCGCTGCCTCGGCTGTGCTACCGGAGGCTCTGGGGAAGTCGGAATAGGAGAGCACTCATCTTGGGGTGGGATTAGTCAGTTCTATTTCTAGATGGGGGCAAAAATGTTTGCAATATCCATTTTGGGATGTGAAGGTGGTGTTGTTTTCATATGATGGGAGTATTTCACGTGTAGCATACTACAAGTATTTGTCACGCAATAAAACCAGCATAAAGAAAATCAACAGATTAGAATACCTGAGGGGACAGTTTCCGAACTTCATCTTTAGGGAGGTTCATGACATCTGCACAAACAGTTGAAACCCTTGAATCGCAATGACTAGAAGGAACCTTCACCTTCTGTTCTTGATATAATGATGAGGTCAAATTACTCTTCTGCAACAAATTTACTGTGATTTTAAGAATCAAATACAAGAACTGTAACCAAAGGAATCACCTTAAGATCGATCCCCACAACCACCCCACCATTTTTCAGTGGACCAAGACTTTGACAAGCTACCTGATTTTACAAGAACAAATCACTCATTAATACAATATGGATATATTCAAGTACATTGGTTTCTTAAATTAATAGAGTATAACATCATGAAACCCCATTTAAAATACAGAGATTTAATTATTTATGTCCAAACACATATAATGACATGTTGGTGTGCAGGCAAAACAAGCTAGTTAGTAAGCCGGCTCATCAAAAAGCTTGAAAAGCTAAGGTGTCAACCAAGCTGGGCCAGATCATCTCACTATTTGAGGACAACTTGTCAAGCCTACTAAGAACTTTGAAGCTTATATGAGTTGCTTAATGAAATCTAAATATCTTTTTAACCCATCAATCTTAGACTCATGGTCACGTTCAATAAGTTTTTAAATCGGATTTTCCTTGTAACTTTGAAAGGTCTAGTTTTGATTTTGTGCGCCAGGTTTGAGAAAAGCCAACCCTAAAGTTTGTATGACCTCACAAACTAGGGCGATGGGTGGAGCTTTTGGCAAGCCGAGCCAACCCTAATACTGACCAGAGCCCATCAATTTCTTCATGATCAGAACTTCAAGCCTAAAAATCTCAGGCTGAGCTCGAACCAGATGCACCCTTAATAATGTGCATCATAGCATATACCAGGCGAGGGATTTGTCCAATGAAAGTAAAAATGGATTGCTTAAGAATTATAAGACTGCAACAACTCATTAGTATCTTGCTAACTTCTTATGGCATAGGATCCTATTGAGCTATGGTTCGTCTAGAGCGACAGCAGATGCGGCGGTTGTAAGGCAAGATGGTTAAGTTGTTAGCTGGCAATCAGGTTATTGATTAGTGTTAGTTGGTGGTTTATCCTTGCATAACTGGAAGAAGAATGATGTAGTTCTGACTAGTGAAAATAGTAAAGCCTTCTCCACATCTCTGGCATAGTTGTAGCTTGATAGATACCTTCTTTTAATGGACTATAAGGATATTTTAACGCATTTACAAACATGAAATTAATCAAATTTACTCAAAAAGTCATGGCACAGAGAGCCTTCTGGCCATTAAGTCTGAAGGTTTAACTGATTTGTTATAACCAACGTATTCAACATTTATCACAACAAACTTATGAACTCAGAAAAGAGAAAAAGGAACCTGAAGCCAAGCACCAGGAGCACAACCGAGGTCAAGAACAGAGGAACCAGGCGTTATCAATTTGTACTGTTTCTGAATCTGAAGCAGCTGTTCCTCCAAACATAATCAAATCATAAGTACTCAAGATGGATTTTAATGAGAAGGGAAGTTCTTCCAAAAGCATATACACACAGAAGATACCATTTTAATCATCTTGAAATTATGGAAAACTGAAACGTGAGTGTTACCTTGAAAGCAGAGCGGGCAACGTAACCAAGGCGCTGAGCTTCTCTGTAGAAGAAATCTGCTGTCCCGCCCCCGCTCATTCTTCTCGACTGATGACAGCAAATCACAGAAACCCCACTTCAACGGTTCAACCCCTCGACGTTCGGGTTCGGATCATATCCGATTGTTCGGTGGGTTTTTCTAACGGGCCTTTTGATGGGTTGGGTCATTTGGGCTCCATGAATTGGTTCGAAACACTCAAAATCTCAAAATACCGTTTTCCCTCGAGTAGAAATAGTTTGTTTTAAGAAAAATATCTATACTATATTATAAAGCATTTGGCTAAAACTCTTAAAAAAATTTAAAACTCTTAAAAACTCTTAAACTCGTTCATGTTATCCGATTTCATC